ACAAGCTGACCTGCCTGCAGGCTGTGCAGTGTGCTCCAAGCTCCCAGCTTCGGGCTGTCACCCATGCTGCGGTGGGCTCTGATGGTGCAGCCGTCCTTGTGTCATTTCTGCTCCTGTAAGTAACCTCAGCACAACGCATGGGCTCGCACACACCAACTCTGTCATCGCCAATTCCCTACTTTTGATCTTATGTCCCCAGCGCTAGTGCCCCACGACAGGTGGGTGACTTTTTTATAATTCAGTTTTTCTTTGGGTTATCCGACATTTCTCTCTAATAATTTTTAACACAGTGTGTGTGTGTGTGTGTGTGTGTGTGTAGACGCAAGAACACATGGGTACAAGTGCCCAGTGGAATGAGAAGCATGAGATTTCCTTGTAGCTGGGGTTAAGAGGCAGGTGTTAGCCACCCACCATGGGTGCTGTGAACCCAACTGTGCATCTCTGCAAGAGCAAGCCACACTTAACCACTGAGCCGTCTCCCCAGCCCAGCAAGCTTTCTCTCTGCACTTGGGGTTTAGGAGTATCTGACTATTTATTAAGCAAGGCCGAGACTAAGTAAGCCAGGTAGAGCAGCACATGCTCTCACCTCAGCACTTTGGAGGCAGAGACTAGATGATTCAGAGTCAGAGATAGCCTGGGCTACATACCAGCCCCTGTCTCAAAACATGAGAGAAAGGAACATACATAGACCCTTGTCCCTTGTCTTTGCCGTGTGATGCCTTGCTGTCTTTGGATGTATAAGCAAGAAGGCTGGGACTAGATGAGACCTACAGGAGCTGCACCCCCAGGTCCCTGAGCTGGGGGCGGGGTGCGCGGAGAAACAATGAAAACTACCTGAAATAGTAATGACATAAAAAAATCTCAAGAGCATTTTTTAAGAAAAATGGCAAAACACACACACACTCAGAGAGAGAGAGAGAGAGAGACTGTGTCTGTATCCTGTATTCTTCAGGTCCAAACCTGGGTTGAGCCTCCTGAGTATGGGGGTCTAGGTAGAGACGTAAGTGTGTACTTCCAGCTATGCGTGTTTCCCAGTGGGCGGAGCTGGGCACCTCTAGGTGAGCTTAGAGTAGGGACTGCACCTCTGTGTTTGCCATCATACCCCCAGTACTAAAGAACTTGTGGTCAAGAGGAAACCTCAATGACCCAGTGACTCAGAATCTCTGCCATGGAGTTTCTGGATGCAGAGCCATCTTCTGGAATGTTCTTCGGGAGTGTGAGGACGTATGCTTCTGTAAGTGAAAACTATGGCCCTGTCTGACAGTGTTTACCTCCAAGGACATGTCCCAGTGGTTCACAGCTGATGAGCAAGGCAAGTTTCTGTTCCCACAGGCAAATCCAGTTTGCCTTTGGGTGTCGGGGCAAAAGTTGTCTGTGTCTTAGCAAGGGTGTGTCCAACTGCATCACAGGGCCAGGCTATGTCATTCACTTTCTCTCTAGGCCATTTGTTGTGTTTCTGAAGGGCGCAGGTCCCATCTGGTAGGGTCACTATTTCAGATTCAGGTATCTGCATAGGCAAACTATGTGGTACCTACAATAGTAGTTCTATGTCTTCTTTTTTGTTTTGACATTAAGGATCGAACTTAAGGTTTCCAATATGCTTGCTAGTCAGATGCTCTACCACTGAGTCACACCCCCAGCCCCTTACTGGGGGATTCTAGGCAGGGGCTCTACCACTGAGCCACGCCCCCAGCCCGTCACTGGGGGATTCTAGGCAGGGGCTCTACCACTGAGACACACTCCAGCTTCTCTGGGGGATTCTTTTTTTCTTTTTAAAGATTTTATTTATGGTGTATAGTCTTCAGCCAGCAGGTCAGCAGAGGACACCAGATCTCATTCAAGGTGGTTGTGAGCCACCATGTGGTTGCTGGGAATTGAACTCAAGACCTCTGGAAGAACAGTCAGTGTTCTTAACCACCAAGCCATCTCTCCAGCCCCTCACTGGGGGATTCTAAGCAAATGTTCTACCACTGAGCCATTTCCCTAGGCCGATTCTTATATTTTATGTTTTATTTTATTTTGTGAGATTATGATTTTGTTCTGTAGCCCAGGCTAGCTAAGAACTCACTCTGAAGTCCATGTAGGCTCTGAACTCATCATTCTCCTGCCTCACCCTCGATCAGGTCTGCCTAAGGGTGTTCCTAAGAATAGTTCTTTTCCTGGTTCCTGTGGCATGTTATAGGCCCTGGCCAGTGTCATTCTTTCCTGGGGTGTGTCTCGGTGACAATGGTTCTGACTATATAAGGTTACATCTGGGTGACTAAACTTCCAAGCTGTTGTTCTCATGACTGAGCAAGCTAATTTCTCGTACTGCCCATCAGCAGCTACAGGAACCAGGCACACTAACGCTCCGACAGTCTTGTCTGCTCCCACGGACCAAGTTTTACAGCTGTCATCAGACCCTTCTTCCACCACGTTCTCAGCCTGTTTGCTCATCCCCTTCTCTCGCTGAACTTTGGGCTGTCTTTCTTTGTAACAGCATCTCACTGTGTAGCACAGGCTAGCCTCACAGTCATCCTGCTCCAGTCTCTTGAGTAAATCCTGGGACTACAGTGGTACAATCATATCCAGCCTAGGCCTTGGCTTTTAGGATACCCCAGTGCAGGCCTCCACTTCTTAACTCCTCAGCCAGCTCTCCTCTCTGCTCACCCCCATTTCAGCCTATGGTCACAGCCTACACCTGCAGCCAAGATGGAGAAGCTCAAGTGTACCCTCATCTGTGCCAAGCGAGGCGGTCTGACTCCCTCTCATCCTAGGGCAGCATCAGTGACACCCCAAAGTGGACCCAAGCCCCAAAGGGAGAAACCACAGGGCTTTATACTCAAATGCCAGGACTTCCTTACCTCGGACCAGGATGACCTGCTCAGCACGGCCTGTCCCCACAGCATTGGTGGCTGTACAGATGAAGGTAGTGTTGACCATTCGATCCACAGAGTGGACAAGCAGCTGAGAACCCTGGACGACCGCAGAGGCTGGGAAGACGCCCGAGGTCCTGGGGGTGTGGGGTAAAGTCAACAGCATTGCAGGTACCCGAGAGCAGGTGCCCTGGAGACTGCAACCCTCAGACCCAGGGGTCCAGGCTCCTAGTCCTTCCTCCTTCAGACCCAGGGTTCCAGACCCCAGTGCTTTGCTCCCACACCCTATCCTGGGGTCCTGTCACTCACGTGCTCCAGTCGTAGCCTGTGGGCTCTGGGTTGCTGCGTACATCACAGGTCAGGATGGCTTCACTGCGACCGAGGTACCAGTTGTCGTCATAGCCAGAGATGGACACTTCGGGAGGGTCTGAGAGGAAGGGACGGCTGACTCAGAGACAAGTAGACCCCAGGTGGCAGGAGACCCATCAATCATAATGAACTAGGGTTAGCGGGCCACACTGTGTATGTTCTGACTAGTGTAGACCCCACCCAGGAAGCCACTTGAAAGCCAGCTCAGACAGGGCCAAGAAAACAACTACAGGTATTGTGTGTGTGCACACACGTGCGTGCGTGGGTGTGAGCGGGGATGCACTGGTGCGGGTGCTCCCGATTCGACACACCTAGATTCATCCACGTGGTAGACAGTATATCCAGACAGTTTGAGTCAGCCAGTGTAGACAGACAGTAAGCCAGGGTGCACAGGCTCACTTTAAGGGTGTCAGTTATGAATAAGGCAGGAAGGAGCCACTGTAGACAAGGTAGGGCACAATGATTCCACTGGGATCTCGGGTCAGTTGTTACAATTAGCTATCAGGGTGGTGCTGAAGACACAAGGTTGTCGTGGGGATGGCTCTTGCTTGTGAGCCTAGCACTGAGGAGGTGGCTGCAGAGGTCTGGGGGAGCGCAAGGCTATCCTTAGCTACACAGAGCTCAAGGTTAGCCCTAGGTATGAGACCGTCTCTCAAAAAACAAAGGCTGGAGAGGTGGCTCAGCACTTAAGAGTATGTACTGTTCTTACTGAGAAGTCTGTTCCTAATGCCCACATCAGGCAACTCATGACGGCCTGTGACTCCAGCTCTCAGGGCATCTAAGACCTCTGGCCTACACTCAAGTGCATAGACAGGTACATAGAGACGATTATAAATAGTAAAATAAGTCTTTAAGAAACAAAACAGCCAAGTGGTGGCGGTGGCGCACGCCTTTAAGGCCAGCACTCGGAAGGCCGAGGCAGGCGGATCTCTGAGTTCAAGGCCAGCCTGATCTACAGAGTGAGTTCTAGTACAGCCAGAGCTATACAGAGAAACTGTCTCAAAAAAAAAAAACAAAACCAAACAAAACAACAACAAAACTCAAAAAAACAAACAAACAAAAAAAAACAAAACCCCCAAACCAAAGCAAAACTGCCGCACTGAGTGGTGCTCGCCTTTAATCCCAGAACTTAGGAGGCAGAGGCAGGCGGATCTGTCTCTGTGAATTGGAGGATAGCCTGGTCTACGCAGAAAGTTCCTGGCCAGCCCCTGCTACATAGTGAGACCCTGACTTAAAATTAAACAAAAAAGGAAGCAGGTAGAATTCCAGCCACTTGAATTGTGTAGAGGGTCCTGGGGGTGTCTCTCTAGATGAAACTGGGGGTTGTCAGAAACTGGGAGTTGTCACTGTAGGCAGTTTCTGGAGAAACTAGCCCTGGATATTTTGGGAAGGCTGGGGGAATCCCAAGATCCCTAGGAGGCCAAAGGAAATGATACTTGGGAGCAGGGGTCAGTGGAATGCCCCAGGGGAGGCAATTTAAATGGGGGTGGTGTGTGTGTGTGTGTGTGTGTGTGTGTGTGTGTGGGTGTGT